CCCGAACTCTGGCTCCTGAAGAGCTATCAGTCGACCGATCTTTCTGATCAGTCGATTGACCCAAGTATGGACCGAAGTTGACTAACTTATATATATATACACACATGTGTATGTGTATATACATATAAATATGTGTGTGTGTATACACATACATACATAGATACATACATACATATACATATATATGTATGTGTGTATATATATGTTATCGACATTCTCGTTTTTAGGTGTTACTATTGCTCAATTTATCATTAGTTTAGGAGAATAGGCAAGCTTTTGTAAATTTGGAAATACATATTCAATCAGTTTATTTAAAGATCTATGTAAGGCACAATCATAGGAGACGGAAGTTTTATCATGTCATGTAGCACAAGCTTCTCTATACCATCACCAATGCATAATAAATAAGCAGTAAAGGATGGATCAGATTTATCTCTCATATTTTCAGTTAATCTAATCTTTTGAAGTAGGGGCCATATTATTGACTTTTACTTGCATCTATCAACTCCTATCTCGTTGTTTTAGGGATGACATGCAGTACTTAATTAGTGGAAATCCCACCGAAAATTGTTACCTTTCCACTAAAGGTAATTTACAGCTATTTATATCTTGTAGCATTTCATCCTGTATAATAACCTTTGACATTGTAGCTTCATCCTGTATAATAACTTTTTGACATTGTAGCTTTATCCTGTATAATAACTTTTGCAGCACATAATAACTTACCATGTCCACTTTGCTTACTAACGTTGCAAGTAGTATTGTTATCTATATTAAGAGGTAATTTAAATCTTGAAAGCGTAGTTCTAGCATATGGTATAGTAGATGTAGAAACTCTAAATACTGCAGTACGTAAAGCTATGAGCCCTTTTAATCTAACAGCAGTGAGAATTGCAGTATATAAATATATGTTCCCAGTTCCACCAGGACCATCTATGAAAAAAGTTACAGGCACTAGTAGAAAAATAAACAAACTAGACGGAACAAACTAGACGGAATTTTTTTCCGTCTAGTTTGAGGCAAACTAGACGGAAAAAATTCCGTCTAGTTTGTTCCGTCCAGTTTGAATCAATCTAGACGGAAATTTCCGTCTAGATTAACAAACTAGACGGTTTTTATTTATTTTTTTAAAAAATAATCAACCTAGACGGAATTTCCGTCTAGGTTACATCAACCTAGACGGAAAATTCCGTCTAGGTTGAGGCAACCTAGACGGAATTCCGTCTAGGTTGACTGTTCCGTCTCGTTTGTCAAACTAGACGGAATTTTCCGTCTAGTTTGATCCAAACTAGACGGAACAATCTAGACGGAAATTTTCCGTCTAGTTTGTTCCAACCTAGACGGAAATTTTTTCTGTCTAGATTGTTCCATCTAGATTGGTCGTTTTTCTACTAGTGTAGAAGAAAACCTAAGGCATACATCACCAGTTCCTAAAACATTGCATTTCTTTTTATTTGCCATTGACACAAAGCCATTCTTTATTTTCTTGTAGTTTGAAAACAAGTTTTTAAAAGGAGTCATATGAAAAGTACAACCAGAGTCTACCAGCCAATCTGATTTACACAAAGGATCAGATAACACAAAGTTCAAATATGCATAATCACACAGATTATTAATCATGAAAATTTCACCCATTTTGCCCTCATAGACAGCCATATTAGCATAATCATTTTGCTGATTTTTCTTATTCTTAGGACAATCTTTAATAAAGTGACCAGTTTCATGACAATTATAGCATTTTTTAACTTTAAACCTAGACTTAGATCTACCCCTTCTATTTTCAAATTTTTTTCTACTTGATTCCCCATTACTAGCATTCTTTTGGTTATTAGACCTATTCTGAGGCCTACCCCTCACATGCATAACCTCACCAGAATTTTTATTTTCCCCAGAATGTTTTAAATCTAATTCCTTACTCTTTAGACCATTGACCACAATGTCAAGGGTAACCTCATCTCTATCATATTTAATAGTAGATTTCACATCACTATATGAGTCAGGAATAGCATTTAGAAGGACAATAGGATATAGTCGTCTATATATTTATCACCGGTTAATTTAATATCTGAAATAAGTTTGGTGAAAACATCTAGGTTCTCCTCAATGTCCTTAGACATATCCAATCTAAATTTTAAAAAAAATTCAAGCAAAAAAATTTTACTGGGCAAAGAGGTTTCAGTATAGAGTTCTTCAAGTTTATCCCAAAGGGTTTTAGCAGATTCCATAATTCCAACTTTTCTAAGTACAGAGTCAGATAAGTTTAAATAAATTGTGGAACAAGTATTTTCGTTCATTTTAGCTCTTTTTTCTTCAGTGTCAGAAGTCAAAGTCTGACCAACAGTCCTAAAAGACTTCTGTTGAATTAAGATGCATTTTATTTTTTGTTTCCAAATGCTAAAATCAGATTTTCTGTTGAACGGAGTCATACTATATTGAATCATACTATATTGATTAGCAGCAGACATTTTTCACACAGAAAAACAAACAGCAACTAGCACGATGATTTCGGTAATTACCTGGCTCGAAACGTGTGAAGCAACTAGCACGAACAAATGAGAAGAACGATGAACACAGAGTTCTTGTTTCAATCTCTTTGTTCTTTCACACGAGCACAAACAATAACAAAAACTATTTTTCAGAAAAATAAAAAACAACTATAGCCGAAAAAATCAGAATTTTACTGTAAAATTTCAACAAAGCCAGCTTAACTGTAATTTTCAATATCATAATTAAACGCAGTGGAAATGGGGAACAATTGATATAGCATCAAATAAAGGGGCGATGCAGACGAGATCACATAATAGAAGCAACAGGAACAGATTTTTTCAGTCAATTCACCTGAGCGAAACCCTAGGAGAAGGTTTCGACCTTACCCATGCCCACGCGGTGGTCCGGCGGCGGTCCGGCGGCGGTCCGACGGTGTCCAGCGGATCGGCTGATTTGGAAGGGCGACGACTCACCAAGCTCTGATACCATTGTTGGGGGGGACGTCGTCGATGTTTGGCTCAGACGCCTGCTCAACCAGTCCATGTTCTCCTCTCTAGTGTGCACCACCAAGAACATAAAGGAAGCTCGCTGATCTTCTCATTCAATCACTCACAAAGAGGAAAGGGGATCGCACAAAGGGTGAGGGCACAAAGCTCGCAGAGGGGTTCACTTCTCTCTCCCTTCTTCTTCCCACACCCGAGCTACTACCAATCCTTCGAAAGATATAGAGAAGGGGGCAGCCGACACGGGAGAGGGAGCCTAGGGTTTCGAATGGTAGGAGACGACCTACAGGGATGGGAGATGGGACCCCAAGCGGCGGCCATCAGATCACAGAGGTGGGAAAGAGGTTGAGTACCATCGGGTAGGATTGAGAGAGGAATAAAGGAGGCTAGGGCAAATGTAGAGGGGAACTGGGCCTTTAGGTAACAGGCCATCAATAGACCTTTGGGCCAACTAATATCAACAATTAGAAAAGATAATACTTTTATAATAATGGTCATCAAATTTCATACAAAATGCTGACATAGTCTAATTTTTGCATGATTCTAGCTCTGTTACAGTCCAAACCAGTAAACTTACATCACAATAGAAACCCGCATGAAAGATATTTATGCCTCGTAAAGCATTCCAATCTCCATCCTCTGCTGAAGAGGAATTCCCATAGTGGGAAGCGCAGACCTACAATTACTATGTAAGAATTCATAAAACCCTAACAAAATCTTATCGAACCAGCCATTCTCCCTTCCTATGTGAAACCTTGTCTTCCCCCTAACATGAACAGCTCCAACACTCTCGGCTTCGTCCAACATCTTAATCTCCTCTTCAACACAATCAACTGAAAATCCTTCAGAGTTATTCTCTATATGTGCTCGTAAATTCTCTGTAACTTGGCTTACGAAATCATCTCCCTCAGGATTAAGAGAATCAGCATATCCATACTGAATTATGCAACCATAAACACCAACAAGACCGAGCTTCCTTATGATGATCCTCTGATGAGGAGGAACCTTGGCAACCAATAAATACTGAAGAGTTGTAAAAATTGTTACTTTGTGTAATGAACGCATATTGTTAACATAATGCCCAAGTATCGGGGTTAGGCCATCTTGAATGTTGCTGTAGAAGAAACAAAGTCCTGGGACTCTTTGGACTTCTGATCTTGATAGTAGATTACCGAGGCATTCAAGTGTGATTTTGTTGGTCATTTCATATTCAATTTTTCTTTGTCTTCCATAGTACCAACCAAACATTATGAATGCAAGGATGATCGAAATGGCAAAAGGAAGCCATCCTCCTTCAAGGATCTTAGTGAGGACAGCGCTGACGTAAAATCCTTCAAGAATGAAGAAGGAAATGAAATAGAGTGCAACAAGTATGGGTGGAGTTCTCCAGATGATGATCATTACTAGAGTTATTAGAATTGTTGTGATGAGCATTACAAGTATAACTACAACACCTGCAAAAAGATAACACATGGGTCAGTAGTTAGTATAGGCATCAGAGAAATTTGAGCTTACTGGAAGCTTCTTTTTTCCTACTTCCTATTTTTGTGGATAACTCAGATCAGAAATTGCTTCTTTTCAATTATAAGTAGTATGCAATTCCTAATAGCTGTGATGTCTTAGAGTTGCAAGCTAAAAGACGAATAAGTTAAGAGCAACATTAGGTTATAAGTCTATGAAAGATAAAAATGATAAGAGGCTTGCAACAGGGAATTTGAGTTATTGCTGAAGTACATAGGAGAATAGGATTAAATGAAAACAAATGACATAAACTATGTTTCTGCCTCTTCTATGACAAAATCAAATGAAGTAAATTGCTTCGGGATTCTGATTCAGCAAATTGCAATAGATTTTTTCTGGGATAAAAGAGATTTAAATAGATTTTCATAAATATAAAGAAGTTAGCATGACAGTACTAATTCACAGAAGCACGTAAAGATTTTATGGACAACAGACTAAATTGTTGGAAATGAGTACATTGATAATCCCGCAGTCTAACTATGTTTCATCTTAACCTTGAATAAGAAATTGATACAAAAAGATATGAAATTAAAAAATGATGGGAAATTATGTTTCAACAACTCGGTAGGTATCATGCAAATCAGAATAAGCGCTTCAAATCTGACATTTCTCTTCTTTTTCAAGCAATAAAACAATTATAATTTGGGTACTTCTCAAAATTAAGGCATGCATTTTCAATATTTTATATTACCGCAAGTCAAAGTCACTTTTAAAGTACATTAGAAATCAAATGAGTGTCATCCAGTGGTCCATGTTAGAATTGGGGGTGGAAACCAACCTCCGCCGGCGATGAGGAGCTCCGACGAGCTCCAGGTTGACGCAGGTGAGCGTGGGTGGCAACGGCGAACTCCAGGCTCAGTTCGAGATGGAGCTCGAACAGGCGAACGCGATGCTCGTGGCGAACGCGATGCTCGTGGCGAACGCGACCCTCGGCCTTCGGGATGCCGACCTTCGCGTCCAGACGCTCCCACCTCCGCGTCCAAGTGATCGCTGGCGACAGGCTGTCGCCAGCCTGTCTCGATTCGGCTATAAAAGCCCCTCGAAGCCCTAGGGTCTGGTTTGCTCCTCCTCCCCCGATCTCTCTCTGGCGGCGGTTTTTCAACGCAGTAGCGTTCCCACCTTTAAACGCAGCAGCGTTCCCAAATCTCCAGCTCTCATTTGATTTTGAGGGGAGATTAAGAAAAGGGATTTAAAAGGGAAGAGAGAGAGAGAGATCTGAAAGGGGTTTATTCCTTTATTGTGGGTATTAACACTGTAGCTACAGTGTTTGTTTGAGGAATCTCAGTTTAGAGATTTGCTCTTGATTTGTAATTTCTTGTTAGATTAAATAAGAAATTAACTGTGTGGCTCCCGAGGACGTAGGCAGTTGCCGAACCTCGTAAATCTTGGTGTACTGTTCTCTATACCGCGTTTCCGTTGCATTAGGGGATTTAGGCGTTAAATTCCCAACAACTGGTATCAGAGCGTGAAACCATCTAGAGAAAATCAGATTCAAGTGGGAGCCATGGCCGCAGATGAAGGAAAAATGAGACTTGAGAAATTTGATGGAACAT